CTGCTAGAGATTTGATGGTGATGCCCAAGAGATCAAAGGGCTGCATCTGGAAAGACAATCAAGTCACTTTTTAAATGGCCAGAAAATCCTCTTTTTATGTTTGCTTTTACATGTGGCACTAGTGAAATCTCAATCCATCCTGTGGGAACCAGCATCTCTGCACCCCTTTCCACAGGAAACTGTCACTGCGACTCTGTAGTCTCTGGTGAGGGTTCAGAGAGGGACGAAGAGCATGGTGGCTGCCAGTGGCGTTGAGCCCTTGCCCATGGGGCCACTGCTCAGTCACGTCTGTGGCACCCAGGATGGTGATGGCTTCCTGGCTGACAGCCACTGTGGCTGACCACCGTCCTTTCTCTCCCCCTGCTGCCGCAAGCAAGCGCGGGCCAGGACTGCTCTTTCCTGCTGGGACTGTGGGATGGCAAGTGTCACCAGAGGCCAAACTGACCGCTGTGTCTACAGGGTGCGTAAGGAACCCAGGAGCCCATGTATCCAGGGAAGGAGCCAGGGAGCTCCAGGTCCTTGAAAAGGCAGATGAATGAAGCGACTGCCCCCAGTGACAGTTTGTGAAACTAGTGACTGTGAGAGAGAACAGCGCATTTTAATGGGTGGGCCGGCCTGGCTCCGACCTCCTGCCTGCTTCTTTACCTCCCTCCCTTTTTCCCTCCATCTCTCCCACTTTTGAGGTACTGGAGATCAAATCCAGTCTCTTTACATCAGCCAAAATCATTTTGTGTTTGAGACAGGTTGCTTGCAAATCACTAAATTGCCCAGGCTGGCCTTGAACCTGCCATCCTCTTGCCTCAGCCTCCAGAGTGCTGGGATTATAAGAATGTATCACCACCTCTAACTTCTAATGGTGTGTGTTACTACAATTTCATTGCAAATACTGCCTTTTAAACAGCATAAAAAGCCAAATGCATAGGTGGTGCAAGCTCTGGGGCCCACGTGGCTGGGCCAAACACAGAGGAACCTTCCTGTGAGGCCCTGGTCTGAGTCCCTTCTGGGTACACTGGTTCTATTTGTCCAAAAGGGCAAGTAGCCTGGCCTCTTGGGTCCAGGTCAGCAGCTGGCAGTCTGGGATGAGCAGGTGGAAGCTGAGAGGTGGTCCTGGCCTGCAGCAGCCTGGCGGTGGGCAGGAGCCAGCGCCTGTGCTAGCATCTCCAGCAAGAGAGCAGCTGGAGTCCGAGGACCTGGATTCGAAACCGGGCTCCTCATGGTGCAGCTGCAGGTTGAGCCCCTGCAGCACTCACCCACCCGCCTGTTAGCCTGAGAGCCTGTTAAAAGCTGCCTGGGCGGGCCCCCTTGGCTGGGCGGCTGGAGGATTAAAGGAGCGAAGTGCTTGGAAGGACTCGAGCCGGGCTTGGCCGGGGTCCGTGGCCTCGAGCACTTGCTGAGTAGGCAGCAGCACATTTGCGAGGGCAATCTTGGGACAGGGCCACCAAATTAGACACTGTGCTCCTAGGGCTGCTCTGCCAGTAGTCACAAAACAGTTTGGCTCTCTTTGCGCTGCCAGCCCGAGGGGCAGGAGTACGGGGCCACCTGCCTGTGCTGCCCAGATCCAGCAGAGGTCCAGCTGTTGCATCATTAGGCTCTAACTATGCCACTAAACTTTCCCAATTGGAGCTGGGGAGCAGGGCAGAGCTGCCTCTCCCAGGGAGCTGGCGGGAGAGGCGCCAGGATCTCCATGGCAACGCGGCCGAGTGGAGTCTGCGGAAGTTACTCAAGCTCCGCGTGTCACGTCAGGAGCATTTTTCAAGATTAAGCTGCTTACCAGAAGGGTTCAGAGGAGGCCTATTATATTTCATGGAAATGGAAACGACAGAGCAGGTCAAATCACAAGCGGGGTGGTTTTAAACTGGGTCCAAGAAAAACACCAAAGGGGTCTTTAGCTGGTGCCCAAACCGAGGCCTTCACGTTACTCAAAGCAATGTTCTGCAGAAAACGTAAAATTTTCAAGAGCAGGTCTGTGCACGGGGGGAGGGCCAGTGCTACCCCGAGAGGTGTCCCCAGCAGGGCCACGTAGGGCTGCAGCCCAGCACAGGGCCCCGTGTGCGGCAGGTGGCTCTGCGGTCTGATCCTAGCCTCCGATCTAGGCAGCTCCCTCAGTCCCTCTGTGCTTGATTGGGCACAGCGCTCAGCCCAGAGCTTGGTGGGCTCCTGGCTTGGTAGGGGCCGTGCAGCCCGAGGTCTGCGGCCGGGGCCCCTGCATGGCCACAAAGTCCTCTGGCCACACAACAGGGTGCAGCAGTGGCAGTGGGAAAATGAGGTGGCCTCCTTGCGGCAGGACACTGTCATTGTTAAATAAAAAAGAACCAAGATGAAGAAGCTGAACTTGGGAAATAGGGACTTCACGAGCAGTGAAGCAGAATTTACCATTGCAGTGGAAGGTTTGGCTGCAAGTGACCAGAGGGCCAGCCGTCTCTCTCCCCGCCAGGCCTCACTACTGTTTTCTTCTGCTGCTCAAGCACCTATGAGCCCAGAGGGAGGCATGACCCTTCCCCGCAGCGCTCTGAGTCGTGGTCATCAGACTGTGGGGTTCAGGTCTCAAGGGGCAGAGAGGCAAAGATGATTCCCCTGGGAAGGGCAGTGGGCGACACCCACGGCTGTCTGCATGCGTGGAGTCTGAGGTGGAGGGACTTCAGGCAGGGGTGGCGGGAGGGTGACGGTGCACAAAACTTACACTTTCTGGAACACACGAGAACTTCTCTGAAATCATAAAAGGCACACCATCCATTGCTGCAAAAGGAGAAAGGAGAGAAAATGGCACTGAAGACATTGTCCATGTCCCACATGACATCAACACTAAGTGCACGAGTGAGTCTCTGGCTAGAACCGGTAACACCCGGAGCAAGTGGTGGGTGGCACCCAGTAGGTGCCCCATTTCTGGGGACCACAACCTCAAGAAGGAGACAGATGCCTCTGTGTCCTCCTACACCAGACAGATGGGGCTCTGGAGCAGGCAAAGGGCTGGGTTAGGACCCCTCTCCTCCCCTGTGAGTCTGGCCTTCTGCCTGGGGGGAGGGTGGGAGCTATCACACAGACAGCAGGAGACAGCACAGCAGCAGGGGGTGTGGGCTGCACCCTGGGAGAAGGTGCAATGGCAAGGCGCTGGGACTCCGAGCTGAGCAGAGCACCCTGTGTGGGTTGAAGGGGAGGGAAGAGGAGTCCTGGAGCTGGGCTGCCTGGGTCTGAGGTTCGGCTGCTACTTCTGATAAGCAGCTGAAGCCCCCTGCACAGGAAGATGGTACTGGGAGTCAAGGAGTGCAGGTCAAAGTCACTGTCACCAACTGTCTCCATCCCAGGGCTTCAGGACTGACTCGAGTCTTACAAGTCTGCTTGATTTTAACAGGACATGATGGGAAGGGTATGAATTGGGTACCCAGTCCATCTGGAAAGGAGGTGTCCTCGGGGTGCCCTTTCTGTAGTTCTTCTCCCTTCCCTCATCGACACTGTCCCCAGGTCAAAGGAAGAAAGTGTGACCAGAAGTGAGTCTCTGTGAGTACTTTTCCTCTGCTGACAACAGCATTAGTGGAGGACCCTGTGGTCACTATGGAGGTCTTTCCACAGATGAAGAGCAGGCCACCTTGGACAATGTGTGAACTCGGCCTACAAGGTGCGGCCTGTGGCTGCCCATTGGGGTGCTGAGACCGATCTGGGCTCTCCATCAGGACTCTGTAGACCAAAATTCAGCCTCACAGCCCTTTGTGTGAGACCAGCAGCTCTGACGTTGGGGCGTGGCCCTCACCCAGAGGCTGCTGGTTTTGTGGAAAGCTGTGGTTTTAGGAAGGGAAGGGGTGAGGGCCCTGAAGCCTTGGGGAGTGGGTTCCCGGGAAAATGACAATCTTCGCTTTCTCCATGGTCTTTGAGAATTAGGACTTCCCAGGCCTCTAAGAGCTGGACAACCTTTCAATTCTAGGGCTCAAGAGCAGCTGAGGCAGGAAGGGGCAGAGCAGGAGGGAGGAAGGGAAGGGACAAAGGCCTGGCACACCCTCATGGGCCAGCGAAGATGAGCCTAACTCATGATTGACTTCAGAGGAGGAAAAACAAAGCCTCCTTGGTGGTTTGAAGAGAAAGAGGGCATGGGTGCCCCTGTGGCTGTACTGGGAACACTGGGGTAGGCCACTGTCTTCAGTGTGGCCACCAGGCTCCCAGAGACCCTGTACCCTGAGGTTAGTGGCCTGGAAGAGAGGCATTTGAATACTGGAAGAGTGTGAGGTAACAAAATGTTACATCATGTGCTCAGGCATAGTCTTGACCACTGACTACCCATGCCGGATGCTTATTTAAAGATGAAATAATTCTGTGAGTAAAGGATCCTTGGAAAGCCACAGACTTCCAGACAGGGACAGAACCACATTCTACCCAGAATCTGGTGAGACACCATATTGGTTCCTGCCACCAAATGCCTGATGGAAGCTGAGGGGACACTCAGCCCCACGGAGCATGTGAGTGCCCTGTGCTGTGCCCTGCCCAGGCTGCTGCTCTGTCGAGGCAGTACGTACCCCACTTCTGATCTCTCTGCAGATCGGGGTGCCAAGGCTCTCAGAGGTGAGAGCTGGCCAAGCTCATGCAGGTAAGCGCAGTGACGCCAAAGCCCTAACTGGGGAAGCTGGATGGTGATACCAATAGCGGGTGTGTACGATCTACGTAGTGGGGGCAGGTAGCGTGTGTGTACGATCTACGTATTGGGGGCAGGTAGTCTGCAAGCAACACTTCTTACGCTGCATCCCGCTGACACCTACATCCCTTTTCAAAGGCCCTCTCTGTGCCCCTGGGAGCCAGAAGGAAGGGGACGCATGCACACTGCTCCTCCAGCCTGCTCCAAGCAGGCACTGGTGGCTCTTTCCTGCGGCCCCCTCCAGGGGTGGAGCCCCTTCAGGCCTTCTGAGGGCCTTCGGGAGCTCTGGGCCATGGCCAGCCCAGGGGGAGCACTTCGAAGGGTCCGCATCAGGTTCACCTTCTGTGCTCAGAAAGGCTCTCAGGTGATTTCTTTACAGAAAAACTTCCTGAGGTGTGAATGGAAGTGACAGTAGGGACATCCCTGCTGGGCCAGAAGGATGGGAAGGACATTCCCACCACTGTCTGAGAAGCAAGAGGCAGGGGTAGCCTCTAGGATGCTGGCAGTTGACACATTCCTGCCTGGGCCAGCTCCAGAGGGGACAGGAGCCGCCTGGACCCTGGCCTGGGCACACAGAGCGGTGGGTAGGGCACCAGAACAGGTGCCCTGTGGGTATGTATATAGGGTGTGCAGTCCTAGGCTCCTCATACTCTTTTGGCAAACAGATTTTCAACAAACTCACAGGAGAGAAGGCTGAGAGAACAGGACGCTCACTGACATCAGAGGTTTTTAGGAGCAACGAGAGTTGCCAGGAGGCACCGTCTGTACTCTAGAAAAGAGGGTGACCCACCGACCAATCCTCATCTACAGAATCTAGTACAGCAAAGCTTACGGTAGGGTGGAAGCACATGAGTTACAGTAGAGCTCTCTGACAAAGTTTTTCTCATTATCCATGTAGACAAAATGGATAAATGGGGCTGAAAAAATTAAGGCGTGGAGGATCCCCAACAGTGGGCTTTTGAGATGGGGATTAACAGATTGATGTTAACCCTGAGTGGCCTCGCTGAATGGTGCCCAGGGCATCTGCTATCAAAACAAAGACATACCCGGGATGCTTTGCTGGTTCCTGCTGCAGGGAGCCTGTGAGGACATCTAACCGCTAGATCTCAGTAAAACCTGACAGCAGTCCTAAAGCCCCGGGATCTTGGGCTAGGTGAATGGATGGAGTCCGCAGAGGTCAGAGGGATGTGGAACTAGAATTTAACTACAGCAGGTGCAATGGGAGAGATGTGGAACAACACAAGGTGAAAGGACCATGAGGTTTGGCTATCCCTGGATAAGTCTGTAAGGCAGCTTGGTGACTAGGAAGGGGGTGTGCGGGGCATCACAAAGGCCTTAGTGCCTGGTCTTGGTGCCAGGATTCACAGGGTCACCCTGGGAGCCTTGAAGGAGGCCCAGATGGTGAAGGGACCTGAAGCCTGACCTCATGACGAAAAGGAGAGGCAGTCATCAGGCCAGATGCCCTGGGAAGGTACTGGCCTGTCCACTGTTGTTCACTGTGCCTGGTACCCCCAAAGCCCACAGCTGGGTAGAAAGTGCAGCCAGAGTGGGGCCCTGTCCAGTAAGACTCACAGTGAGAGTAAGCAAATGTCACACAGTTTTGCCGGCTGTCATGGAAGAGGGGTAGACAGATTTCCATGGTTCTGCAGACTTCTTCCCCCAAGAAGGAGTACTGGGCAGCAGAGCCCCTGGCCAGGGTCCAGGCAGATGACCCCTGGCTGGGCAGCCAGCACAGGATCTCATCTGTGGGACTGCTAAATCCCCTTTTAATTCCGTAACATCTATTTCTGCTCTCTTTATCTGGGCAGGCTTTCCATACTTAAAAATATCCAGAGGTTTCCCAAGCATAATTTTTACAATCAACAGCACATATTTTTCATGTGTTCCCGAAGACTGGGCATAAATCACCTCCACCCTGGCTTCTCACGGGGAGCATTCACCTCCTTCCTTTCTCTCTCCGTGGTCAGAGGAGGCTTTTGCCCACTGCTCCTCCAGGGCTGAGGCCCGGTGATCATGGTCCTACCAGCCAGTCTTTTGCTGACCCTGCTCAGGGTGAGGCATTGCTCGAGGACCTGGTGACAGGCAGCCAGGCCAGAGGGTACGAGGTCATCCAGGCCTGCCTGCCTTGCCAGTCAGTAGGGCTTGGGAGGGGTCCTTTTCTTGCTAAAAGTCCCTATGGCTTTGTCTGGGCCCTGTGGCCTCAAGGGTGATATTACAAAGACTCCTCTAAGCCTGGGAAGGAAAAAAAAAATGCTGCTCTTGTCCAGTTCTACTAAGGAGAAAAACCCCCATCTGTTACCCACATACAACACTTGCAGCAAGTGTGTGAACCCTCAACGTTTCCATTTGCCAGCAACTTGCAAGAACCAGGCTTGGGGGAGCTGGGTGGGGGCCAGCACTCAAGTCCAGCCCTGGTGAGTGCTGGGACAGTGGACAGTGGCGGGGAGGGCGTCTGGCAGATCAGCAAGCCTGGGCCACTTGGCTTCTCTGAGCCCTCCCTGTCCTCTCTGTAAAGCCAGAGTTAGGAGCAGAGGCGAAGCACCTCGTGTGCAAGGTCGGCTGCCTGGAAAACTGGGTTTCACACACTGAAAGCCAGGGACTGGCCAGGTTCCGTCTGGTACCAGCCAGTGTTTTCTTTTTCTCCTTTTTTTTTAGTTTTAAATTTTTGGTGGCAGTTTTAACAAAATACTGATCCCCAGCACTGAGCAACATCCAGAGATGAAAGCAAGGATGTGCCTTGGGCTCTGTAGGGCAATTAGCATTCTCCTAAACAAACGAGCTTCAACAGAGCTGTAATTAAGCAGGCCTGTAATTAAGTATATGCCCTTTATCATAACGATCATGCTTAAAAATGGCACAATGCACAGAACTCTGTTATTAATGCTGTAATCCCAAACTGAAGCGCAAGTACATGGAAATCAGCGTGTCAGGCCTGTCACTGGAGTGTTTGTAAAATACATTAAAGAAAAAAACCAGAAAACAATGAGCTCATTCAACTGTTCTTTTTACAATCAGGCACTACAAGTCAAGAGGATTGTGAATGCTTACGGATTCGGATTCGGCAACATTTAAACAAATAAAAGCTCTAATCTGCTACTCTATTTAAGCCTACTCCCTA